TATTAACATTTTATAAGATGAGTTCCACCGGGTAGGAACGTTCAGTTGGAATTTTTTAGGTTTAATATCTTGACCTCTACAAAAATCTCTTCATTTTATTATTTCTTGAGGATGACGATGTAAGTAAGTGACGATGTAATAATTATCTTGCAAATAATCGAACCAAAAGACACAACAAATAGAAATTATTTGGTTTAAAGTTAAAGTTTTGGCCAAAATTAATTTTCTCACCCACAATAATTCAAATATCGCGAGTAAGAGTAGTACATGGAATCCGAGACGCAGCTTGGTTTAAAGTCATTTGAGCAATTTTTACATATAAATTAGAATCATCAAAACCGAAAGTAAGAGACGAAGCATAAACAAATTGAGCTAGATTACGTCTATGGTTTCATGAGAGTATTGAAATAAAATAGAAGACGTACGTGTTCCAGTCGCGGATGCAGTGCTACTCCTCAGGATTTGAATTTGGGTTGTGTGATTCCCCATTTCGGCAGGATTATATGTCGTATGTGTCATTGCATCGTTTTGTACCCATCGTTGGTTTTAAAGGCGTACTTTTTCTTGACTTTGGGTGGACAATGGTTGCAAATACATATAAAATTTTTGTCACCTTTTTCCTTATTGGACACCTGATATTCATCATATTTTCATGCATTATGAGTGATATATTGTGATATTTGGCCCTGGTTATCGTGTGATTGTGCACCAATTCGTTTTATTTATTAAACTATGATAGAGGTGTTTTTGTCGTTGTTTTTGTAGGGAATATGCCCGGAAATGCGTTGGAGATGGAATCGGGACGAAAAACGGCGAAAACGGATGCAGAAGAGGTCACACGACTCGTGTGGGTAGTGACACGGGTCGTGTGGGTTGAGAAAATAAGAAACGCAGCTACGGCTTTTTCACACGGGTCGTGTGGCCTCACACGACTCGTGTGACCCGGTCGTGTGACCAGTCGTGTGAGTCTGAAAGTTCGCCGAAACGTTGAGAAAAGTCACACGACTCGTGTGGCATGTGACACGACTCGTGTGACGCGCAGACCAGACCTGCGGGGAATAGGATTCTTGTGCGATTTCTTCCCTTTTTCGACCCAGAATAGCCCTACAGTATAAAACAGACCTTAGGAACTCGTTTTTGGGACTTTTGACACCATTGGAGGCCTAGAGAAAGCACGAAACACACGAGGGATTCGAGGAAGTCAAGATTGAAGATCCGGGAACTAACGGCGACAATAGTTCTTCTTTCTTTTCTCTTTTTCTTCTTCATTGAACTCATGAATATATTTATTTTGAGTTTTGAGAATATGTTTAGTAGCTAAACCTTTTAGGGATTCTAGGATTTGCGAGTACTCGGATTATTTTATGAAGTGATTTTGTTTATTCATTCCGGTTTATCATTCGTTTATCAATTTCTTGTGCTTTTTATTAATTGTGTGAATATAAGGGCCCGTATTTATGCATATTTGTGATTGACTTGAGACTGAGAGGAGATAGTTGATTGCTAAAATTGAGAAATTCATAACGTAAGAGACTAAACAGACCGAGAGGTTGATAGAATCTTGCGAGGGAACTAGAATCTTAGGAGCTTATGGGAGTTGATTGTTCATCTTGAGACCGAGAGGAGATAGATAACAATTAATATCTACGATTTAACTTGTTCGAGAGAAAGATGTAAATTACTTTAGTGATTATCCCTACGAATGGTAGAATTAAATAAGGTTTGAATGAATAATTAATCTTTGTTAGAATAATTCCGAGGAAAGCATAGCCTAGAATCTATTTTCTCATTCTTGATTTATCTTAGAACAAGCCTTCATTAGTGTTAGAATTTATTTTGTGATCATTCATTAGTTTAGAATAAAATCACCATTCAAATTTGCATTAGACTAAATAATATTTAATCGTTTACATTTTGATACTTGGTTAATTTTGACAACAATCTCTGTGGAATACGACCTTGCTCGCCACACACTACAGCTATACCGTACACTTGCGGATAGTGAAAATATTTTGCGAACAAGTTTTTGAAGAAGACGGGTAGATATTACTTTAGTCATTTTTGTTTTTGTTTTATACGTTGGTTCTTAATTGCATCCTTTTTGGTTTGTGTGTTTTAACAGGTACTTGCATGATCACGAGGTCTAGTGGGAGTTCACCCGTAAATTTTAACCCCGAGATTGAAGCTAGTTGCCGAAGGAACAACGCAAATCGGAGACTACAACAACGACTGAGAGGTGCAATGGAGGAACAAGGTGAAGAGAGGTACGGACAGCTCCAAGAGCAACTGGCAGAGCTACAACGCCAGCTAGCCGAGCAGCAGGCTCAACAGGAGACAGGACCACCGGTCCGGAGCATCTTCCAACCTCAAGCTGACCAAGTATATGGAGGAGGTCACAGGCCGAGAATTGCAGCTAACACTTTTGAGTTGAGCCCATCCTTGATTCGTATGGTTCAGCAAGAGCAGTTTGGGGGAGGTGCTATCGAGGACCCGAATGCGCACCTGGCGCAATTTCTGGAGATATGCAGTACCTTCGTGAAATGCCTTTTGAATATGTCAGACTATTCAGAATCGGGCAAGAAAGATTGTTCTTGCTCAGGGCAAATGTGATCGGGGCTTAAGGTTGTTGGCCTCCTCCACCTTGACCTTGAGTAGGATCGAAATCATTTTCGTATGGTTACTCCAGGTCCTCCTCGAACTGTAAGCTCTCGTGGATTTCATCAATAGAGTGAAAGACGCGATCTACCGTCTCGGGATCAACATTTTCAGGCGGAGTCGGAACACCCCAGTATATCCCCTTTTGTCGGCTTAGCGATGAAGGTCTACTCGGCGATGCGCCTACAAGTTTATGCTTTTGTGGCCGGTGACCGGCGGTACCACGACGACTACCGCGAGAACTCGACATTATAAAACTTGGTCTTAGATAATAGATTTAATTTATAAAATAAAGGAGAGGTAAAAATGATATAAATTAGATATGAGAGAGTATTATGTAAATAATTTGTAGAACCAGAACCTAAATGAGAGCGAATTTATAAAATCGAACCCGAATTTACATAGAACCGGACCGATTTTATCGCAAAACAAGCACAAAAACTGAAAAAGAGCACTTCAAGTACTTAGAAATGAGCACAGACAGTGAAGGAATGTTGTAGTAAATCGTGTGGAACATATGATTTCGGGGGAGGGAGTATATGTAGNTCATTAACTAAACCGTCGTTTCGGTTCAGCCCGGCGATACAGACGGGTCGGTTCAAGCCTGGCCGTTGAATCTCAACGGACAAGATGATACATCAATCATATTTAAAAATCTAACCATTGGCGATTTCAGGCGGGCCGATTTGGACCCGAAACTATATTTAAAATTAAAATAAAATAAAATCTGGTGGTTGGATCTCTAACAGTCAAAAAGATCTAACAACCCAAATTTAATTTTACCGTCCGGTCGTCAACGGTCCTCAACGATTTTGCGCCAGCCCAACATGAAAAATACAAAACAATAAAAAATAAATTAGAAAATTGGTGGGCCTCTCCAGGGGCAGTTCTAGGCGGACTCTAAACGAGATGGTTTTAACAATTATATATATATGAACCTGAATCGGCCCGTAAAAAACCATGGGCCAATTTGGGCCGGTTCGATTCTTCCCATGTAATTAATTAGTCAACGCCGGAAATTACCAAGAACCATCCTCTTCCAAACACACACACGTCACGTCAATTTGATCTAGCAAACGCGTAAATTCATGCAATTTTTCAACTCTAATATAATCACCAAATTAAATATTAATACTATTTATATTGAGTTTCAACTACTAGTTTGCTACTTATCTTGTACTAATAAACATATTAATTTCTATTCACATTAAAAGATCTGAAAAAAAT